TGCAGCGCTCTTGAGACTTCACGGTGGTTCACGATTACTTCTCAGTGTTTCTTGATGTTTCTCTTCCTGAGGTGGCTCCGCTGGTGGCATACAAGGAGGACCGACACGTTCACGAAACTGCCGAGCTTCTCCGCTTCTTCGGGTCTTCTTTCATGGGCTTTGGCTTGTGTGGCCATAGGCCATATTCTGTGAGGCCCTGAAGCTGTGGCGCGTCAAGAAGCAGGACTGCTTCCTCTGGGCTTGGGACCCAAACCAAGCACCAAGCTGCTTTCAAGAACAAGAGAACTGCGGGGCATTTCACGGGTGACCTCAATTCAGGTGGCTGCATTTCTGGGAACTCTGTTCCTCGGAGTTCTTCAGGGTCGCGGTCTGAGCGACATGACAAGCTGTCTGGGCTATCGGAGCGGTGACATGTTGTTTCTTCATTCGTACGAGGTATTGCCCTTGCCGTCGGCCTCTCACTGTCCATCGTCATCTACGAGTCGGTGAGGCTCGGGTAGTTGCGCTGTGCAGTCCACTGCAGTTCAGCTTGCCACCCATCTTGGAGCTCTGTGTATCGCTCACCGTCCCTCCGCAACCATAGGCCGCAGATCACGATTCTGTGGCGGCTTCCTGGAACCACGATCTATCGAAATGTGAAGCAGGTTTCTGCCATGTCTTTGAGCGGAATGCGGAATACTGCAGCATACCGCAGTCCCAATAACGGGGTGCAGTAAAACCTGTGCAAGGAAGCGATTGGATCCTTCGTGCCGAACGTCTTTATTGCTCGCATCGGGAGCAGCATGCCGGGACCCCTGAACAATCATGCGGTACATGAGTATTACATGCCCGTGTTCGGCAGCATAAGCGGGAAGCGGCAGTGTGCGCCCTGCAGTTGCCTGCTCCCCATGTCATGTTCATCAAACGGCGTGCACTGAAGCACACCTGTGTGTGGGTCAGAGAGAGCGAGGGACGGAGAGATCGACAGATAGAGAGATCGCGCCGCGCGCGGCCCAGATACTTTGCCAATGCCTACTTCATCAAGGCCAGACTTCATATTTGCTCCGCACTCCCGTGCGGTCACCTTCTCTGTTAGTCTATCGGTAAATCGGTCTTTTACGCTGTGGTGCGTGTCCTGGCAATGGATACTACCGTGACCGCCCCTGCACAAGGACTGGCTGCAGGAGCGCATCTCTTCCCTCGAGCAAATCAACCGGACAGAGTACATAGTTCTGGAAATGACTGCTGCCTAGCACTCAGTACCAGTGCCCAAAGGAGCCCAGACGCTCTGCGTGTGCTAACGGATCCTATTCTGTGCTCATGAGCCGCTCAGGTGGTTAGCGTGGACTCCACAGCCCTTCATGTGCTTGAGGCCCACATCAACGAGAGCGAATGTCTGATTCTTCAGCAGCTTGACTCGGCATCTTTCTTCCCTGCAACCCTGCACCGTGTGCCATTGCAGGATGTTGTCAACGACTTCCGTGGTCGAGGCATTCAGATTGCCTTTGCCATGGTGGGCAACCGCCTGGACAGGAGCGAGCACCCACGAAAAGAGTTGTTTTTTGTGCACATGTTTTTTTTGAGCGCTTCGTGGAAGAGAAGTCGTGAGCGCTGTAGGACCTTCCGAAAGAGTGGTCTGACAAACTCGGCCAGCTTCTGAGTCTCGTGACCCTCGTGTCCCGCAAAGTGGACTTCCGAGTGGACTTCCGCGTTGTGACGTGTCGTGACTCGAGAGGTCGGCGAAAAATGGTTCTTCCCTACCGTGCATGATGCTGTTGTGGGCTGCCTCCGCCATCAAAAGGTTCCCATGGCTGCAATGATCTGCAATGTGGGTGGCAGTTCAGCCCTTCGCAGCCCTTCACAGCCCTTCATAGCCCTTCAGGAAGGTTCCGGAGAAAAGTGATCCGAACATCCGAAACGGCGATATACAAGATAGTTCGTCGATGCTCGACTCTGAGAGGCCAAAAGAAGGAGGCAGACATTGCGCGGCTTGACCTCTGCGGGCAGCCTACCCGACAGCCTCACCAAAATTTGGCTTGGCGATCTGCATCCTCACATGTGACCTTCTATATGCTTTGAGAAGACGAAGGTCATGCCAAGCAACCTGGCGGTCCTGGGACCTGGTGGAACAACCGACTGCGGCCGCCCAGCCTTTGTCCTTCAAGGGTCTTAAGTTCGTGTCTGTCTTGTCCTTCAATGTAGGCAAGTTCGCAGACATACTGCAAAGCCAGGCACGTCCGAAGCCAGCGTTGCCGGAGCGACCGGTGGCGAAACAGACCTTCAGCCGGGACCCCATCATCTTGTCCAGTTCAACCTGCGAAAGCCAGCGATAGCTCGGCGCTGTTGAGAAGCATGCGATGGTGCCGGACTTTATGCCAACGATATGGCGCAGCAACTGACCACGTTGCAGGCCCATCACTTCACATGGCATGGAGCTTTGGAGCCACCCAGCGCCCCCCCCCCCCCTCTCTCCCCACATGCCCGATCTTCGTGACTGTTGACACTTCGGACACGAGAGGGCGATCCGAGAGCCCGAGGGTCCTTCAGTTGTCAGTTCTACATGGATGAGAGTCGGCCCCATGCCACTCAGAAGCTGGACTGGAACAGTCTTCCGCTTGTGGCGGTGTTGTGGTCGCAATCTGAGGTCAGCAACCGACTTGGAGGCTGCTCTTGCATGCTCTTGCATGCTCTTGCAACTTTCCCCTGCCAACAGCAGACACCGCGCAATGTCACCTGGAGGTTGGCTTGCCGCTTTCTAGGAGTCAGGAGGACAGCACAATCTGCAAGCAGAGGTATCAGAAAGAAGCCTTGTCAGACAGATGCAGAGGACCTCTTGGATGTCGAAGAGAACCCAGTCCACATGGGAAACGAAATAGGCTGGGGCTGGAGAGTTTGCTCCTGCTGTTGCTGGATGTCAATTGTGGGTTCAAGGTTTCAGCAATGATGTCCACCACTCGTGCACGGTGATTTTCATCAACTTGGTTGAGGACCTCGTGTTTTCCCGAATAAATGGATTTCACGAAGCCATGCACTATCGTTTGCAGGACGTGCCGATGATCATGTCAGAGATTACCGCAGCTGAGTTGCATTAAGTCACAGGTGCCTCAAACGATCTCAAATGCTTGATGAATTCTGGATCCTGAAGGGGGATTCAGAGGTCCCTAAAATGCCCTAAGCTTGGAGATGTGCAGCTTCTGGCATGTCGAGGCCGTCTTCCAGCGCCGCAGCTCTGACTTGTCTTCTCCATGCGCCTGCTTTTCCTCGCCGTGCACCCCCCCTGTGCACCCCGTTCGCTCACCCTTAGGTCTCTTTCGTTTCTTTCCTCAACCCCGCATTAATCTGTCACACGGCAGGTGGCTTGACCATCTACCGGGCCAACATCGAGGACGACCAGGGGATGGGGACGTGCCGCATTTTCTGGCGTATAAGTGCATGAGCAGTGTCTGAGCCGAGAGATGCTTTGTACCTTTCCTACCCTGCAGAGGCTATGGATGACGATCACGTGACTGGAGCATCTCGGGCACGCGGCCTCGTCCACAGTATTCCACGGTGTTCGTAGCGAATGCTGCCTTCTTGCCGTGTCTCAGAGCTGCACCTCACACAAGATTAGTAAAACCAACTGAAGGGGCCTTCTGCCGCTTCTCAATGCACTCGGCTCGCTGATGTTCCCAGGCGGAGCCTCGCATGTTTATCATATTCGGAGCCTGCAGACCCACGGCAAGCTCCAGGCCCAGGGAGGGCAAAAGTCACTCGCAGTTCAAAAAAGGAATATTGTGTCTCTCACCGGTCAGGACTCGGAGCTCCTGGGTCTCAAGAAAGACTTGCTGGACCGTCGCGGGATGACGCTTCAAGTTGACAGACCCGACATGCCACCTTGAGCATGCCTGGGTGTGAAAAAGAAAGGGAAGGTGAGAGAGAAGTGTACGTTGTTTTTTTCGTGACTTCAGTGCCATCCTGGGCGATGTAGTCATGTAGTCGAGTTGGGTCGTGTTCGGTGGGGGCGTCGGAGGAAACTGACAAGCAGTGACAAGTACAAAAACATGGTAGTAGAAAATAGAGAACACAACGTGACAAGCGAGCGAGCTCCCGCGAGAGAGGACCTGTTGCACTACAGGGTGCATTCTCCGTGCTCCGCCGGTCCAACTGCCTCGGCCTTGGCAAGCTGCAAGGCATAGGATGCAGACGAGAAGCAGGGGCCTCAAACCAAAGAGAGTTGAGAAATGCAAAACAGGCGCGAAGCATCTGCAGCTCCGAGGTGATGGACAGTTCCTGACGCAATTCTCGTGCATGGAATTTGCATTGCAAAACGCACCTAGCTGAAGAAGCTGTGATCCGGGCCGCCAAAATCGGCGGCGAAATCTCGAAATCAATTTGTTTTTCGAAGGGATTGTGGAGGCGACGACGCAAATCCTGCATTTGCCATGTTAAACACGTGGCTTTCCTCAATGGCCATTGGCTCCAAAGAGCGGGCCACGACGACGACGGAGCCAGCTTGTGTAAAGTGAGCATAGCGAGCTGAATCCGGGGGCATCACTCCCCCCCACGATGAGCAGACGGCTTGTACCAGGGCGGAGTGAGATCCTTAAGCCTTAAGCAGGCTTAGGCACAGTTTGCGGAAAGCTTTTTTAGCTTCGAAGCGTGTTCTGCCAAGGCCGCTCCCTGGTACTGTTCGGAAGCCCGCAGCTCTTAATCCGCTTGATTCTTATTTCTCTTTAGTTCGGTTTTGGCTTCCCTGCCCCGCCGCCTGCCGACCATGCGCAAACCACTGACGAAGATTCACCTTGCAATCGAGGTCGGCAGGAAGGCGTTGCTCTGCAAATACAGGGTTTTGATGGGGTTGTCTGTTGTACAGAAGGAACCACCAGCAGGCAAAATGCTGGCACCTTAGAGCTTCCACTTTCCAGCCACAAGTGCTCCCCGAATCCTCCCGGCATGCCAGAACAGAGGTGGTCAAGACGGCAAAAGACGGCAACGAAATCTTTTGGTGTGCTCGCAGCCAATGGCATCCACTCAATGTGTAGGAGACGGCTCCAACCGTCCATGGGCGAGTTCAAGCGCATGGTGGGGCTGGTGGTTTCCACTGAGGCATTGGGCATAAGCATCGCCGCGGTAACTCCCTGGCCTTCGCACCAAGAGGCCAAGATGAGCGTCATCGAGATTCTGAATGCCATTCGATCTCGATGCTGGGCACTTGTGTTTTTTCGTGTGCTGTTCTCAACCTGCCCCGCTGCCTCATCACGCGCCTCGCGCTCTGCAATGTTTCAATTTCACGATGGCTCAGGCCCAGAATGGACTGTCACACCGTGCCGTCTGCGGAAGGCGTTTCCTGGCGGTATGCTCTTGCTAACTGCTTGTTAGCTACTTAGCTGCCAGCGGCTGAATGCGCAAGGCACTGGCAGCCTTGCATGCAGAAACGAACCGAGGACGCTTAAGCTGAAGTGTAGTCTGGAATGGACTATGGGCTATTGCGCAATCTTGTTCATAAAGGCATGATTAAAAAGATTGCGGCTCCACGCCTTGCGAGGAGACGCTCCTCAGTCTGGCAAGTGCAGGATCTATCCGCAGTGCGGTGGCTCAGGGAGGGCTCAGGAAGGGCTCATGGAACGAAGCTGGAACTTTGCTTGCCGAAGCTGGCCTCGTCGATGTGGGTCTCAGCTTCACGCTTTGCTTTGTCTGGAGTTTGGACATGCTGGGGACTTTCTGGCTTTCCCTCAGAAGGCTAGCTAGTTGCAGTAGAGCCACAGCCAGCATGACAGACTGATCCCGGCAGCAACTTGACAAACCGAGTACGTGGGCAACTAAAGTAACTAAAGTAACTAAAGTAACTAAAGTAACTAAAGTAACTAAAGTAACTAAAGTAACTAAAGTAACTAAAGTAACTAAAGTAACTAAAGTAACTAAAGTAACTAAAATAGCTGAAGTAACTAAAGCAACAAAAGTAACTAAAGCAACTAAAGCAACTAAAGCAACTAAAGTAACTAAAGTAACTAAAATAACTAAAGTAGCTATAGTAACTAAAGGAACTACAGCACCAACTGATCTGAAGCATGGGCATAGAAGAATAACCTGGAACAAGCTGGACAGCTGGCCACGACTGGCCAAGACGGGCACCTTCCAGCAAACGCAACGACGGGGATGACAATAATGGTAACTTAGCATTGCCATGCTGGCTGCTGGCGGCATGATACGGTGATGCTGCTTCAGGTCGGCGCTTCTGTACGTGTGGTGGTGCAGAACGTAAAATGTTACCGGAAGCTCATCTGAAATCGAATTCTGCGTGGCCCACCGCTCGTCTGCCAGTGAGCTAGGAGGTGTCAGGTCTGGGTGCCCTCTTTGGAGCTGTTTCCCACATCTTGCCAAGCCTGAAACGGACGCCTATACACTGTCAGAAGTTAATCTGTCAGACATGAGAAGCCATTACAACTCACTACGTCATCTGCAAAAAAACTCTGACATTATGCAACCAAATTCTTTGCAAACAATTTGGTTGCATGTGACAGCACGTGTGGCAGCACGGTGAAAAGTCTGCAAGTTCTTCCACTCGGTGCTTCCGTCTAGAATGTAGAATGGGGGCGGGGAATTGAACAAATATTCCGGTTGTTTTTGCGCCATGGGCGAAAAGAATCATGGTTCAGAATGCGCAGATGACTGTGGCTCTGACCCTTGCGTTCTTCAGCTTTCTGCTTGTTGTTGGAGCTGCTGCGTGGGTTCTGTGCAAAGTTTTGCCTAGAAGGATAGGGGTGTCTTCTCCTTTGCGACAAAATCGGAGTCGTTGCGCTACCTCCGGATCTGTGGTCGCAGTACCTGAAAATTCCGTGCCAGGGAGCCCGTGCAGAGATGAAAGCTCACGGCGTATCATATCCTGAGTGTTTCTGCTCAATGCGTTTTCTCTTCAGCTTCTCCGAAGAGCGAATTTCGTGAAGAGGGAATGACACACGGCGAAATGCAGCTTCCTGGGCCCACCATAGAATATCCGTTGGCACCAGAATCCAGGAGAGATGTACCTGTTTCCAGCAAGGCACAGGTCATCAAATACTCGTATCCCGTGCATTGCACAGCGGGTTTCTTAGCTGGGGCTTGTGCAGAAGTTAACGTGCCTAAAGTTCAATTATTACTTGTTGCAAGGTTGTATAAGTCCGAGATGTTCCGCTCCACGGGTAGCTTGTTCAACTTGCAAAAGCAACGTACTTTTCGCGAGCGTGAGAAAAACTAAGACGACTACCATGACCCACAACAAAAGAAGGAGCTTAAACATCATCTTGGCAGGCTCTCTGCATATCGCTTTGGGTACCTGCAGTCGGCCACATATGCGGCACAGCTGTCTCGAACGATGCTGATGGCCACAGCTGTCCTAGCCTCAATAGCATCAGGAGTTCGCACGCAGCAAGTCAGACAGAATCGACAAAAGAATCTACATATATACAATTACATATACATATACATATATATATATATATATATATGTATACATGGGCATGCAGATGCATGTGGGCTGCTCTAAAGTAGGGCCCGCTTGAAAAGTGGCTTCCAGAATCGAACGCACGGAGGGAAGCCCTGCAAACAGTAGGTCGCGGTCGGGTGGACTGGCTCGTCGACTACAAGGCTGGGGGATTTTTGGGGCTTCATTGCCGTGACGTAGTGGGCAAAACAAGGTTGGGTAACGTTGGGTGAGCCAGGTGTTCGTTGCGACCAAGTATAAGCATGGTTTGCGACTGACGACGGGTGTTTGGTTCTCACCGACTTGTCCGAGGCACTCTCCGAGGAGGAAGCGGCAAAGCGCGTGGCGAGGGAGTATCCCGTTCCTTGCTGGCGTTGCGGCTTTCATACATCCAGCTGCACGCTGCCGCCAGAGCCCCTTGGCGAGTCGATGATCTCCTGGCCCCACTTTTCTGAACTTAGCAACGCGCTCTCGGCTACTGCTGCTATGGTGGCTGTAATAGTGGCTGCGAGAGTGAGGTACGATGACAACCAGCGGCAGCAGCTGCAGATGATGAACTGCGGCAAAGTTCAGTGCCTCGGAGCAAAAGCCATAAGCCACCAGATTCCAAAAGCTCTGCAAAGCCTCCGCCATGAGGAAGGCAATCGCCCAGTTCCAGGAGACTCCTGACACTTGCGGCTCTGTTGCCACTCTTGCGACTCTTGCGCCTTCCCCCCAGTTACAGTTTCGAGAGGATGACGAGCTGGAGGGCGACCACTGGGCCAGCCCTGAGCAGGTGGCGGTGTGGCAGTACAAGAGCAAAGAAGCAGGACAGATCGTGGCACATCTTTCGCCCTGCTTTTGGGCTCTTGTGGCTTTGTGTGCTCGGAACCCTGGGGAACCCTGGGACCCTGAGAAAGGAGCCATTTGTGAGCAGTCGGGAGAGCTCTTGGACTACGACCAATTTGAGGCTGCAGCAGTGGTGGCGCTCCACGCGTGGAGTCACGTGACTTGGCTGTGCTGAGACTCGCATGGACTTGCCCAGGTGCAGTACAGGATGTTGCTGCTGCTGCTGCTGCTGCTGCTGCTGCTGCTGTCATGCTGGTCTGCTATGTCTGCTGTCCCCCTGAAAAAGGTCATCATGGACGACTCGCAGTGTTGTGACCTTCTCCGGCCACCTTTCTGCTGCATGGCTGCACTGGCATGGCTGCGGCATTGCCGCGCGGGCATGGTCGGCATACGAAGGCTTGTACAGGGTCTGGCACTGGCAGTGTTGCCTTTCCCCAAACAGGAACATCTGGGTTCGCTCTGCGGCTTGAAAGCCGCGTTTGCGTCTGTGTTGTGCGGATTTGCTTGGGGTTTGATCGGAAGATTGGTGAGTATGTAAGCCAGCCATTTCTACATACAGATACGCGAAAGAGCTGTACCGGACATGAACTCCGACGACGCTCGCGATGCAGCACGATGCCAGATCAAGCAGGGTGTTCCTCTGTCTTTTCTGGTACTTTCTGAGATATCACGCTTGTGAGAATGCAATGAAAAAATAGCGAGAGGCTGGAATGCTCAGACGGAAAACCCACACGTGCTCGATGGTGTGCCGGAACTTTGCGCGCGTCCTGTTTGTTTGAGAGAGGTTCTGAATTGCTTCGAAGCTGAAGGTCTGCAAGCGCACCCCTCTTGGTCCACACTGTCGGTGGCGGTGCTTTTGGGAGGTGCCAACTCAGTCACCGAGCTTTCATGTCCAGAGCCCCACGATGTGTGCTGCCCGTGTGGAGGTGCCCTCTTGGCACTGGCGTTCTCCATTCTCGCTTCCCTCACGGTGTCTTGTTTTGCAGCGGGAGAGTTGTTTCTTAGAAGCCCAGCATCGAAGCGAACCCATCCTTCTCGTACCTCTTACATCTTGTGCATGCAATACCACAGATATGACGTCACTGTCAGTGCTGGCCCTGAGGTCCTGAGCCCGTCGTCGACTCCCCAACAGATATGGCATGGTGTGGTACGGTGTGTCGTGCATTCAACCGCGCGACGCTAAGGCCGACGCCGCATGGGCCGAGCTGCTCCCCGAACCTCTACGCGACGCCCCGGTCCACGCCCCCGGCTGCGGCAGACCTACAGCAGGACCGGCGCACAGCTTCAAGGACGTTTTTCAGCTTTGCCACGCTTTTACTCATTTTTACTCCCCACTTTACCTCGCAGGAGCTCTTGAAGCACTGGATGAAGGATCACTCCCTCCGTGGCCTCCACGGAGCGCAGCACTTTGCGGAGAGCACGGCGAGCCTTTTCTCTGCTCTGTACCAGCGATTCGACTTCCAAGTCGACAACATCAGGCTCGGGGCCGATCTGACGGCAGAGTTGCCCCCGCTTTCTCCCCACTTCCTATCACTTCCTCTAGTCTCCGTTAACTTGCGCACACTTGTACGCTTGGTACTGCCTGGTACTCATCCTTAGTCGAGTGCGCTAGGAACCAGTTCGACCACCTCCTGTCGCTCGGAGCCTAGCGTCTGGAGGCCTTAGCAGCCGAGAGAAATTGACGGAGTACAGTCTAGTGTATACACATGAGAACTCTTTGCGGAAGATGAAGATCAAGGCTCTGGCGCTCGCACTGCGCAGTCCTGGCAGACCTGGACCTGGAGCTCGAGGAAGAGGACGACTTCCTCACCGAAGCGGTCCCGGACTGAACTGAACTTGAACTGGTTGAACCGCTTCGATGCACTGCAGCAACTCAAAGCTTTGTGCTTACTCTTGCGCATTGCTGGTTCTTTAGGTGGTGAACGAGCAAACTCTCCTTCACGAGGCTCTCAACGCAATGCACGCGCTCACCTCAGTGAAAGCAGATAATGTGGTCTGCTGAGTAGTGTGGGGGGCGGGACCCCCGCGCCCCCTTCTTTAGTGGGGGGGGGCGGGGGAATTGGGGGGGGGGGGTCTGGCTGAAAATGATTTAAAAAGTCATGAGTTAAAATGAATGTCAAAGGGGCCCATATGATCTTAAACGGGATGAGCTGAAACGAATGTAAATGGGATCCGTATGATTAAACAGGATCCATATGATTTTGAAAACGATGAGCTTATATGAATTTGAAAAGGATCCATAAGCTTTCAAAAGGGATGAGCTTGTATGAATCTTAAAGGGATCCATACGATTGTAAA